GGATACGAGGGCATTATTCCAACGCTGTGTCAGTGCATCGACGATCTGGACGAGCCTAATGCGCGGGCATCCCTCATCTGGATCGTGGGAGAATACGCCGAAAAGATCGACAATGCCGGAGAGATTATCACAGGCTTTGTTGATGCATTTGCGGAGGAGTTTACCCAGGTATGTTTGAAAAGATGTCTACATGACATAGCTGACCGTTGCTGCAGGTTCAATTACAGATCCTCACAGCCGTCGTGAAGCTCTTCTTAAAGAAGCCGGATCAATCACAAGGCTTGGTGCAAAAGGTGCTCCAGGCCGCAACAGCAGAAAACGATAACCCGGACATACGAGATCGCGCCTATGTCTACTGGAGATTGCTGTCCAGCGACCCTCAGATCGCCAAAGTGAGTGCTCTCTCCAGGGAAGCCCAACACCTATTGACATTCTCAGAACATTGTACTCTCCGATAAACCAGCCATTACCACGACCATCCAATCTCTTCCTCCACAGCTACTGGAACAACTTCTGACCGAGTTGTCATCGCTTGCTTCGGTGTACCATAAGCCTCCGGAAGCATTTCTGGGTCAAGGACGGTTTGGCGCAGAAGCTATGCAGAAAGCTGCCATCGAGTATGTTTTGTCCTGTCTGAGACACATGGTCTATGCTAACACAGGACCAGGGAACAACAAGAAGAAGCACGGGAGAATCCGATCGCTGCGGCAGCGGCAGCAGCAGCGGCGGCGGGAGGCGATGCACCGGCACAGTCAAACATAGAAAACCTCTTAGACATCGACTTCGATGGCTCCGCGCCAGCTTCATTACAAAAGGAACCCAGTTCTGGACAATCTGGCCTGGAAGGTCTCGCAGGCACCCCACAACGCGTAGCTTCGCCTGCGACAGGAGGCGCGCCCGCTTCGAACATGGACGACTTACTGGGACTGTTCGGAGACGGAGGTGGTGGTGGCGCCTCCAGCACTCCAATGACCAACGACGACATAATGAACGGATTCGCGGGCATGAATCTGTCAGGAAACAGCCAGCCTCCTCCTCCCGCCCAGCAGCTAAGTGGGCAGACAACGCAGCCGTCGACGAAGAGCAACCAGGAGCTATTGGACTTGTTCTAGACAGGTTTCGGGGGTATTGCTTTTGGGTTGTGCAGGCGAAAAGCGGTCAATAGCATTTGGAGGCGTCCGCAGGGAAGGCACCTGTACGAAGCGATGTATAGAATGAAACAATGAATATTGCAATTATGCCAGGCTTTGGACGAAAATAAGAGAAACGCGTGCAATGAAGCCGGGGGAGGAGGGGGGGAAACAGCCACAAGTGGCAGTGGGTGCTTGGCACTGACGCAACTCGCAGTGGGCGGGCTGTTTGGGCGTGTGGTCGTGTTTGCCCTCCTCGTTCATCTGCTGTCTTGCAGGCTTTCACCCGCCCGGTTCGCGTGCGCGCCGCAAAGCTTACAAGATCGGTTTGATTGCCTCTCTCGCACTACAAAGCACCGCGCACAACCTCCTTCTCGCCATGTTTATGCTCCGCAACCGTATGTTTGCTGTACCCCGCCCCCGCCATGCCATGCAGCTGCGACTAACGCCTGTGCACAGTTAGCAAATTTGTCTTTGGTGACGGTTCGAAGGAGTCCATTGTAGAAATCTCGCAGGGCCAACTCTACCTCGTCCGTCCACGATCGGTCAAGGGGTACTCCGAGCTCATTTTCAAAGACGCAGCGGCCACGATCCGACGCACCGGCCAGGAATTCCAGTACCAGCTCGTCGTCCAGCGCGCATACGAGGAGGGCGAGGAGGATCTGCTTGCCGAAGAGGGCGACGAAGACGTCGGTGCCGAGACACTAGGAGGCGACAAAGACGAGAAGACATTCCTGCTTGACGAGGGCCTCCAGTTCAGAACCGACCTACGGTCCACAGGCGAGAAGATCTTTGCGTGGCGCGACCTCAGCGGCGACGTTGGTGACCTCTGGGAGTTTGTCTGCGACGCTTCAGTCAAGCCTGAAACTGCTGCCTTGTTCGAGCGCGTTGCTCTGCAGTGCCAGTACGAGCGCAAATTCCGCCGCAGCCACGAGCACGCAACCGAAGAAGACCTCGAAGCCCTAGCTTACTTCGAAGAGCCCATTCCTGACGCCAGCCCTGTTGCCAGCCCCACGCGGTCTCCCACCCTCCAAGCAGCACCCGCCGCCGCCGAGCTCTTCCCGAACACCACACAGGAGAACATGGCGAAGAAGGTAGCAGGCAAGGGCCAGGCCCCAGCAAAGACGGAGGACCCTACCGCCGCTCCGCCCTCCGCTATACAGCCCAATACTCTGGGAACGCTGGCCGAAGGGGTTGCCGAACTTCATCTGTTCGACTTCCCCAGCGGTACCTTCGTCATACAAGATCCCAAGGTAACCGCTTCCGTTACTGAGATTGGCAACTGGGAGTATTGGCTGCACATTGTGGGCGAGAATCGTGAGTGGCTCGGCCAGCCCGTCATCGATGATATCAATCCGGTTTTCAACCACGAATTTAAGTCGTTCATCTTCAATCACTACTTGGACGATGGGTCTGCCTATTCATGGCTGCTTCGATTTTCCGAGCCAGAGGATCTCGAGAGCTTCCAGCAGGGTGTCATGACAGCTCTGTGGGAACACCTCAATCAGACCAGGTGGGCAAAAGTAAAGGATAGCGACCGCGAATATGTGCTGGAGGCGTTCCAGGACCTCACCATGGAAGATGCTCCAGATGAAGAGGAGGAGGATGAAGACGAAGAGGAGGATTTTGAAGATGCAGAAGACGGCCAGCGCAGCGAGCACTATGACGAAGACGAGTCAGACGACGACCTCGAGACAGACGTGAAGGATGGAGGAGTCAATTCTCAGCTTGCTGTCGGATACAAACACGATAGATCCTTCGTCGTTCGTGGCAACAAGATTGGCGTGTTCAAACATACCGCCGACAACCAGCTGCAGTTTGCCACAACCATCTCCAACGTCAAGACGCCAAAGGGCAAGGCCTTCAACCCGGACAAGGTCATGCTTCACCAGGAGGATCAGAACATGATTCTCCAGAATTTGGACAACCCCAATGCCCTATATCGCATGGATCTGGAGACGGGTACGGTCGTGGACGAGTGGAATGTGCATGAAAATATTCCCGTCAAAGTCTTCGCACCGGAAAACGTAAGTTACCAAACATCCCGTTCAAATTTTTTTTACTAACACAACTGCAGAAATTCGCCCAGATGAGTGGCGAGCAGACGTTCCTGGGTCTGTCCGGCAATGCTCTGTTCCGCATCGACCCTCGCCTGTCAGGCCACAAGCTCGTTGACGACCAATTCAAGCAATATGCCACGAAAAACGCATTTTCTGCCGCCGCGACGACCGAGAAAGGACATATTGCGGTCGCATCTGAGAAGGGTGACATTCGATTGTACGATCGCTTGGGCATCAATGCGAAGACACTCATACCCGCCTTGGGTGATCCCATCATCGGAATGGACGTGTCAGCAGATGGCCGATGGGTGCTCGCGACCACTCGAACATACCTCCTACTCATCGACGCATTGCAGAAAGGCGGCAAGAACGAAGGCAAACTCGGCTTCGAGAAAGCCTTCGCAAAGGACGACAAACCGCAACCGCGCCGTCTCGCTCTCGCACCTGCCCACGTCGCCCAATTCCAGCACGAGACCAAAGCACCCATCTCGTTCACCCCTGCTCACTTCAACACCGGCGTCGACGACAAAGAGTCGACCATCATCACCGCCACGGGTCCCTTCATTGTCACCTGGAGCTTGAAGAAGGTGCTAGCTAATCGTAAGGACCCGTACAGCATCAAGCGATATGCTGAGGAGGTCAAGGCAGACAACTTCAAGTTCGGGTCCGATAAGAATTTGATTGTTGCCTTGCCGAACGAAGTCGATATGGTGGCTAAGCGGGCGCTTCAGAGGCCCACGCGCGAGAGTATCGCGACGCCGTCACGCGTTGGTGCCGCGAGGCGGAGTGGTACGAGGGGAAGCTACTTGGGAAGGAACGATATCGTCAATAGCCCTTACTAAAGTGGCGCCTGAGGTTGCTGGGGGAGTGGCATGGTGGACATGATTGTGTCTCTTTCGAACACGGACACGGTTCGCGATGCAGGAGTTCGGGTGTCCTTTCTTCAGCAGATCCCCCGGGGGTTTTCTTTCCTGAGGATGTTCATATGGGTGTGAGAGTCTTTCCCTTTGTTTCGATTCCCTGAGAACGCTCGATATCATGTAGCTTCTTTATCTGGTAGATACCAAGGACGAATTAATTCAGGTGTTGGGTAATGATTAGAAGTCTTGTTGCGTGATGTTGAAGGATGTCGTGTTAGTTATGGGAGGGTAGTGTGCTCCAGGCTCCTCCTTGGCAAACTGTCGTCGTGTCTGCTGGCACCGGCCTACCTATCGTCCCCCCACCCCCCCTTCCTTGTCCTCCTCCAAACAGCAGTAGCTGCGTTAGAAGGTTTTTTTTTAGGTATTTTCTATTGCGTATGCTTTATCGTATTGTTTCTCATCTGTTCTTCAGCTACGAGAAGGCGAGGACATCTATCAGCGAGAGAGGTGAGAGGAGAATATACTTCTTGTGGGTAGCGCAGAAGCAGATGCCGTGCAGAGGCCTCTTGCCACTGTGTCGATCGGTGCTGCTGCGTTAATGAGAGGACAAGTGGGGCTCTTGGTCTCGCGATGGGAGAGGTTTGAGATGGGAATCACGCATGTATTTTGAAGATAGAGTGCGGAGTAGAGGTCCATCGTCATACACAACATCTTTTCCAGAACAATTACATATTAATGACTGTGCAGACTTCCAAAAAATAAAAATAAAATAAAGGCTTCAAAGCTCCAAACAATATATGATTTCCTACAAGGCAAAACGATTGATGGTTGCTGGTCGCTTATGGGCCGGCCACCGACTAGCCGAATCCGGCGCCAAAAAAATATTGCGGATGCAATCTCCCCTCCCTATTACAGTTAGCACACGTATTCTTCTTATATATAAGAGACTGTATGACATACCAGAATCGAACTGGGGACCTTTCGATGAGCAATGATATTACAGTCGAACGTGATGAACCAACTACACCAAGGGGAGGTATTGGGTTATTTATAGAAACTTTTGCCGGTAACCAGTATATATAGAATGGTAACATCTGGCTCGTCGAAAAGGCTCTACAAGATTTGAAGTCTGATCTAGTCATTTGTATCGTGGGGCACCGAATGAGTTACATAGTAGTGTAGGGTTCGATTTCTTTACATAATCTTGCGATATCTGGGGTGGAGACTAGCGTGGAGGTGTGGAGAAGGATGAGGAATGTGGACATGGCACGAAGAACTTAGCGTATGTGGGGGTTGTTCTGATATCGTAGTTAGATAGATATGACTGTTATATACTGGTGGACTCATACACTTTCATGTTCCACGCAGCTCTGGAATCGTCACACAATGAACTGGAGTATCATCGATGTGGGTTGCCTTGGGTCCGCCAATGACAGAGGGAATGCATTAAATGCCAACAACTAGTGGACGGCACAGAGATCACGAATCAGGAGGAGCTCTGGAAACATCACAGAACACCAATAACACCGTTGGCGTGGGATGGACGGCCACGGCCCGTCGCGCAATGACGTGCATAAAAACCTCACATGAAGCGATATCTCAACGCGACTACTAAGCCTATCTATATTTTCTGTCTCTTGCGGGGGGTATCTCGGAAGTCTATAGGTATCATCTCGATCTCAAAGCCAAAAGTTTGAGCAAATGCGACTTTGCGCGCGCGAGCCGCCCGGCATATTGTGGTCCCCCTTGCTCTATGGACTCCAAAGGACGAAAGGATGCGAAAAAGCAAAAGCAAGCAACGCCATAGCTCCCGGAAGCAGTAAGCCGAAATATAGTAAAAGGAATAGAGTTTTGGGGATTGCGGCACGAGCGTGGAATGGATGCCGCGAGACCCGCCCGCGTGTGGCTGCTATCCGTAGTCCTGATGGCGCCGCTCGGTTCTGGAATGTTGGCTCCTGCAGACTCCGTGGAAAAAGGTGATTCGTGAATGCGTCGGAGGGCGGCATGCAGATGCATCTAAGCGAGATGCGGATGTGATGCTGATATGCGAATTGCGCGACATGGGTATGCTTTTTCGATCGTTGCGATGCGAGTGTGTATGCTGTGCGTGGCAGTTCAAGGCTCATCAGGGCATGCCATAGTCACTCATAATATCTTCTGGGTCTTCGGGTGGCAACATGTCGATCGTGTCAGTTGTACGCGGACCGGTGTATGTTCTGCATCCTGGGTTAGCGCCTTGTCATGTAGGCCTGGGTTGCGGATTGGCTGCTCACTTCCGTGCTCCTGCGTACCACCAAAGCATGCTGAACAGCCCAATGAAAGCCGCCACGCATATGGCGTAGTTCATACTCGTAGCTGTAACCGGCTTGACCGTGGGGAAGAAGAGGACAACGCTGATGAAGCACACCCATGTGACTGCAATGGCGTTGACCGGCTTGCTCCACTGTCCCATGGTGTAAGGTCCGGGGATGAATTGGACCCTGTTTTCGTACACTCTGTGCGCAATAATGACGGCAATGTAGCTGATGTCGAGTGCTGGGGCGGTGATGTTGAAGATGGCCACAATCGTCAAGGTGCTTCCAATACCGATCAGATCGAGACAGCTGCAGAAGGCCACCACAAGCCATACTGCGTTTACCGGCGTGTGAGTGACGTCGTTGACCTTGCTCCAGAAACTGTCTCACATAAGCCTTGTGCTCACCGATCAGATCGCACCTGCAACTTACCTGGAAAAGGGAAAGGCGGCGTCGCGAGAGAATGCCCAGGCCATTCTTGCGTTTGCCAGCATGGCAGAGCAACCGGTGAAGAACTGCACTAATATAACAAAGAACCACATGATGGTTCCTCCCGTCCTTCCGCCCGCATTGAGGAATATTTGTGCGACAGGCAGTCCAGTCGGCGTTGCCATGATGGTTTCGTAGTCTGACATGCAGAAGCAAAAGGTCACGGTTAGCATCCATCCTACGACTCCGGACACGAGGATAGCAGCCCTAATGGCGACAGGGCCACGAATTGCCGCATCGTGGGTTTCTTCCGACATGCTTTGCAACCACATTAGATTGGCTGACGAGCGAGATGCTAGGCCGACTCACTGAGTAGTACCGTCGTAGTCTGTCATCGTCCAAGCAACGGACAAGAAACTGTATAGGGTTAGGCACACCATTTACGACGAAGGTGGCAGGTGAGCGTACCCAAGGAGGAATGAGAATCCTTTGCTGCCCCAACCAGAACCGTCCATGAACTCCGTGAACACCCATTTCGCGCTCTGCTTCTCTGGTGTAAGGATGAGAAGCGCTATGCAGATGCAAATTGAAGCAATGACTGGCGCAGTGGTTAGCGGTGCTATCACCTCGAGTGGAATATGCCTACTGTTGATAGGGGCAAACCAAAGGATGATCCTATGAAGCCATTCAGTGGGAAACGAGCAGATTGTTCCGAACAAACAAAGAACGAGGATTGCGAGTAGGACGGTTTGCAAGGCGGTTCTACAGTCTGTTAGCTTTGTGATCCGGATAACGGTTCTTCAACATACGGTGTGAAAGCAGCCTCGCCCTTGTCGAATGTATGCATGACAGCGGTTGCCAGAATCATCTGCGATATCGTATATGCAAGACTTGCTACGCCAGCAGCCTGACCCAAGAAGTTGCACCACCCAATGATCCAAGCCCATGGCGCGACGTGTTCCTTGGGTACAACATGCTTTGTGACATAGTACATTCCTCCAGCTGTTGGATATGCAGATACCAATTCGGCGACTGGGGATGTTGGTTAGCTTACGGCGTAGAGGTCTGATGAAGGACGCACCTGAACTGGCTATGCAGTATGCCATAATACTGCCAATAAACCAAGCCCATACCGCTGTCGCTGGGCCCCCAGAGCCCATCGGACTGCCAAAAGTCGCGGGCACTGAGCCAAGCACTCCGAGAATCGAAATCGCATAGGATACTGTTGACCATCTTGAAAAGTGGCGTTGGAGAACCTTTGGGCTTTAGTGGCTATGGGGTAAGTTTTCGGGTTTGAGCATACCGGCGTGTATCCAATGCGCACCAGCAGACGGTCATCGTCATCCACAATCGTTGCCATGTTGCGCGAGCTTGCCCGATTTTGCAATGCCTCTGCTGCTTTGGACGAATGCGAGGTAACGGGCTGAAGCGACTTGCTCGGGCTGCTTGGGCCCTTCTTTGAGTCTGAGGTGATCTCCATGATGGTTAGGGAGAGGTCATGGAGCAGCGACAAGAGACGGGAGAGGGAGGGGATACGCTTGAAATCGCGCAGATGAATTAAACGTTTGTGGGGCAGTAACGGCGCGGAGAATGACAAGAGGATTGACACAAACGGCGTCAGCACGCCCGTCTCAGGACTTGCTGCTCAATAGGGAAGGGATAGGGCCGGATCAATGAACGGCGCGAGGGGAGGGAGGGAGGTGGATATGTACATTTTCATTATTAAATCGGCTGATTGGCAGGGTGCCGTTAGGCCAGCAGGCCAACAGGGTCCAGCAGGTACGAGATGGCAACGGCACTCACCTTCTCCCAGTCAGGATAATGAGTGCTAGGCCATATTGACACGTGCAGAGGAGCAAGCTAGCACGCTGAGCATATTCCAAGGGCGTTCTATGTGGGGGAGTGGCCGGGACAAGGTTTGTGAGGAGCGACGGAGGCGAGGTGCAGGTGTAGAAGAGGGCGTGGTGCTCGAGGTACTGTCATTTGCGGAACGGCACCGGTGCTGGGAGAAAAGTAGAGGAGCCAAGCACGGGCCCAAGAGGCCGCGGCGTCCCAGACTACCGGGCCGTCTTCGACGCCTGGTCCTTACAATCTCGCAGACGTGCAGAAGGTTGGGAATCCGTCCAACGTCCTCGGCCTACGGCGAGCAACACCGCGAGGGATCGTGCTGTTCTGCGTGTCTGGATGGCGGACGGTGCTGGCGCGTCGCTCCATCGCCCCCATTGCGCGCTCCTCCATCCCACCTCATCTCGGATGGAGGCTCTTCGACCGCGCCGGCGAGGGAAGGTGACTGCCGGCGGTCCAGCATGGCGGACAGCAATGACGCATGTGCGTCGAACAGGTGGGCGAGGGAATCGAGCGACGCGATTCAGTGTGTCCTGCTTTGTTGCGGTATCCTGCCGTACGGCTTCCCTGGCAGCGCATTGCAGGCGGTGAGCGCTCCCGTTGCCATTGGCCTGCCTGGCTCGGAGGCCCTGCTCGCGCTGGTACTTTGCCGAGGGAAGGTTACAGCATCTGACGCGACGAGAACTATAGACGGCCTTTGACTATAGCCACGGCCCGCCCAAGTGTGGGTTCGACTGGGAGTGAGGTCACCACAAAGACAGCCGTTGCGACTACTGTGCTCCGCTCGAGCCGATCCTTCCAGCATGCTCGGAAAGTAGACTGTAGCAAACACCCAAGCGTGTTTCGCCTTCTCCATCGTGGGCACGTATAACGTAGTCGCGATTGCTACCGTACATTTGCATGCATTCGCGCCTTATCGCGTCGTCCCGCAGTGGGTGGAATTGCCTATCGTAGCAGCCGAAGCGAGCCATGTCTCGCAAATTGTCCGCACTGTGCATGAGAAGTCGGCCCTGCAAAACAGCACGTGTCCCGCTGTGCCGCATGCTCGAGCGAACCAAAGCTACCGTATCTAGCCTTCTTTATGTTCTAAGCGACTATTGAGGATCGGAATGTCACTTGTCGCACTTGCTTTTGCTCACCGCACTGTCGGGTCCCATCCCACGTCGCAAAGAGGATAAAGCCCCTTTTGTGCTCACCAGTACTGTGACGGTCAAGCCAGGTCGGTATGAGCTGTCCATCGCGATCAGTCGCGGCGGACGACACTCCGGCGCGCCAGGCGGGCGAATCTCCGGAACTGCTAGGCACGGTAATGGCACCTATCTTGCGAGGTGATGGGTTTGTTTTGCGTTTCCATGACCACACAATTGCCAGCACATCTGATGGGACGCCTTAAAGTGACTACCGGGCTTACGCTTCCTGCGAGGCATTGTGCATCCTGGTGCATTTGTAAACAGATCGCGTACGATATCGGTCGAGCGCCTGATCTATGAACATGTAGACAAAGACATTGCCATGGATCCGGGGTGCTTCAGTAACTGCCTCGCCAAAGTGCCAAAGGAATCCGAGGTAGCAAGACAGAAACGTATGCTAAGATGAAGACTATTATATTTGCTTGGATGCTGGTCCAAAGGCTTGGGAATAAACTTGTGGCGACGTTCCTATCAAATGCTGCCTAGAAAGCCCGGGGTTGGGTCCTATACGGTGGCTACAGTAGCGTTCGCGGCGTGGTGTTGGTCAGCCTATGTAGTCATCCTCAACTGGACTTGAAACTATTGCTTTTTGCCGTAGTGCACCCATTTGGTGCCCCACATCGATAAATCACAGTATAGATATTTTAAAAATTCAGTACTTCCCATAAAATTCACCTCCGCTTGGTGTAGTTGGTTTATCACGTTCGGCTGTAATATCCATTGTTACCGAAAGGTAGGTGATAAATGTAACTCTAAGCGAGCGACTCGGGCTAACACATCAAAAAGGTCCCTAGTTCGATTCTGGTACGCCACTTCGATCTCTCACATCAATACGAGTCCTAACATCATCTAGGGAGCGGAGACAAATGTCTTCATCAAAGGTGAAATGTTTTTTTGCCATTTCTTTCTCGTCATCTGCAACAACCTTTGGCCCATCTTCCACATACTCTTACCAGCGCATCTGTTTTTGCCCCTTGAGAACGCCTCGACAAGCATAGCGGGGCAATTCGCTTTGTTTCCATCTAGCTTCTCTCTGATATCTTGCGGTGAGCCATCTCTTGATGCCGTTACATCCATACCAGCATTCCTTCGGAACTCTAACGCATGCACGAGTGCACATGATCTACAACGCCTAATGCCAAGCGGACATGCCCGACGCTATAAAAGGCCTCCAGCTTCAATCTTGGCTGTAACAGACGACAAAGACTTGATATCAGCCACGGCCAAAAGAGCGGTGGACAAGCGTGCCGGCTAGCCTCGCCGTTACGCCGTCCAAGTTTTGATTCAGCGTCCGAACATCGCGCTCAGATAGCCCAGTGCCAGGAATCATGTCTCTTCGTTGTGGAGTTATTCTTGTTTGGGACACGTGCATGTTGACGTGCGTATGGAACACTTGTGAAAAAGCAAGTGTGCGGTTGATATCGGTACAGGAGACCACTAAGCGAAGTCACGAAGAACCCGAGGCTGAGATATCAAAGAAACGATTGAATGGCCTCGCGTAGCCTACCACAACAGTGGATCCCGGGAGAATACCGAATTCTGCCTGTAGCTAAGTATGCAATGCCGGCACACAAAGACGCACACGCACGTCCACATCCACATCCAGGCTGAGGCAGGAAGCACGGATCATGTAGATATTCCAGAAGCCTTCTGCATACAGCCGGCGCACGGCATCGGAGGACAAGACTCGGCGCCGAATGAGTCGGCGTATACATGCAATAGCAGACGCGTGCTATCATAGCTGACCACATCGTATCGTGATACAGGAGGAAACTGGGCCGCAATCAGCCTCTTCCTTCAACGTCTTCCTTGCTGTATTCATCATAACCTTTTCTCGGGCCGAGCACTGCTGCCCAAACCGTCCATGCCACATGCGAAAATTTCGCTTCGCTTCGTCTCAGTTCACGATGTACGAAAGCTGACGCGGAAACATTCCCGTATTTCGCAAGTAGTGCGACGGCCGCACCGAAGCATTTATAAATGCGTGGTCCTCGCGCTGACGACGCACCAACACGGCGCTCATCAAACCCGCATCTGGCCATTCCTTGCTCGTAGTTTCACCATCGCCTGATACCGGGTTGGTGATAATATTACGGACACGTGGAAGTTCTCTTCCTATCGGCCCGTTTTGGGAGCTCAGCCCTACGTTAAGATATCCACCGTGGTGTGGCAAAGGAAACAAAGTTTGCGCCTACTATGCATGGTGTTGACAATCATGTGAAAGGGTTTAAGGGAGGGCTCCTTGGGAAGGTGCACTAAATGCAGCATTATGATTCTTTCTTCTTCGAATAAAATAGAGATAGATAAACGCCACCATTGCAAACGCCGACCGATATCGAGCTTGTGCAAAAGACCCCACGATATTGCAAACCTCATGTTCGGCGGTCATGGACAATCCGATCATTTGAGGTTACTCGCACCCCTCCTATCCTTCTTGAGCGGAGAGAACGTAAAGCCCTCTTCGGACATCATATTATAACCCCCGCTAATCGGCCTCTGCTGCCCTTTCCCAAGCATGCTCTTGCCCAGGGCCCTCGCTGCAAAGATTCCTTTGCTGACGATTGGCTTTGCCGGCACATCCTCCTCCTCATCAGCATCAAACAGCGTCTTGCCGAGGCCTCCACCGGCGGCTTTCCCCCCCAGCTTGCGCTTCTTTTTCTTTTCAGCGGCCGGTTCATCGGTGAAGGCCGCGAACGACATGAGCGATTTGCGGGGTTTGGGTTTCAGAGATTTGGGCTTGGGCTGGCCGTCGTCGGCAGGTTTGAGGGGTACGGTGACGGGGAGGTTCTCGGAGTTATCTTTCGAGTGGGAGAGCTCGGAGGTTTCCTCTGTGACCATCTCAAGGGTGGGTGCGGGCGTCTTCTTACGCGGTTTGGCGTTGGCCTTGTTGGACGCAGAGGGTGCGAGGGGTTTGGACTTGGGTTCGGTATCCTTCTTAGGGGCCTTCTTGGGAGGGGCAGTAGGCGTTGCCTCGGCCTCGCGTGGTGCATATTGACTGTCCTCTTCATCCTCTTCTATGATGGTGTCGCCGGGAACGACAGTACCGGTGCGATTGAGGAAGGGCGTGAGCGAAAATGCGGAAGTGTCACCGACCGCAGAGACGGAGACACCGCGCTTTGCCTTCTTGGCTGGGAAGCCATCGCCAGGCGTTCCCAGCATAGTCTCGGGCTCGACAGAGGCGGCCAAGCGTTTGCGAGCGTTCTTTACGGGCTTCGCAGAGGCCTCGCGCGTTGCTTTGACCGGTGGTGCTGTTTGTGCTCGCTCAGCCCTGTCCAGCTCCGCTTCCTTCTCCTTGAGCTTCGCCTTGGTGGTGCGAAGCTTCTCCCTGAAGGCATCGAGCTTGTCATCGAGCACATTGTTGCGACCCTGCAGCTCCGCGAGCGTCTTGGTGTACTCCTTCTCTTGCCTTTTGCGCTCATGCTTTTCTTCGTCCAGCGCCTTCCTAAGGTCATCGGCCTGTGCGTCCGTCTGCTGACTGCCCCTCTTAGCGGCCTTTTCCAACTTCTGGCGCTCATGTTTCTCCTGCTCCAACTCTTGGCGGAGCTCCTCGAGCTCAGCATCGCGGTCACTGCCCTTCCTACTGTTCTTCTCCGCTTTGGCACGGGCGCTCTTCTCCTGTGCCAGCTCCTGGCGAAGCTGCTCGATCTCGGCGCCAAGCTCCTCATCGCGCTTGCTCGCTTTGTCGGCGCCCTTTTTGGTGGCCTTCTCCAATTTAGCCTGAGCGCGCTCCATTGCCTGCTGCTGCGTCTCCAGATCCGACTGCATCTTCTCGACAGCCTTCTCCGCCTTGGCGAGGGTAGCCTCAGCCTTGAGTCTGTCCTTCTTCTCCTTGGCGAGCTCCATGCGCAGCTCCTCAAGCTCGCCACGCACTTCGTTGTCCTGTTCCATCTTCTTCCCCTGCTTTGCGAGGGCGCGGGCAGCGGTGCGCTTCTCGTTCTCGAGCTCGACCTGCACCGTGTTCAGCTGGCGCTGTAGCGATAGTTTCTCGGCAAGCAGACTCTGGTTCGATTCGACTTGGGCGCGCAGGTGTTCGACTTCGGGACGTAAGGATGAAAGCTCGCGAGAGAGGGCAAGTTTGTCGGAGAGGATTTTGTTGGAGTCGGAAGTGACGTTTTCCATCGCTCTGAGTTCGGCCTGTGGAATCAATGATGGTCAGTGCAAGGCGGTTGCGCGGGCTACGTGTGACGCACTTTCAAGTTTGCAACTTCCCGAGCCTGGGTCCGGATCTCTTTCTGCGCCATTTCACCGGCAGCTCTTTGCTCATCCAGTTCCATCAGCGCGTCATCCAGCGCATTCTCCAGCTGGTCTGATCGCGCCTGTTCCTCTTCGAGCTGCTCGTGCAAGTCGCTGTTCTCGTCCTGCAGCAAGCACTGGCTCACTCGCAGCTTCCGTGCCTCCTCATCCTTGGCGACTATTTCGACCGAGTGCCTGCTCATCTCAAGACTGAACTCGAGTTTCGCATTGCGAAGCGAATGCTGGAGCTTGTGCTAGTGTCAGCCGCTATGTGCCTCTGCGGTTTTGCAGGTTGAACTTACATCTTTAATCTCATAACTATGTTCTAAATCCAGATCAACCGCCATTTTTAAGTCTGCACTCCGAAAGATGTCGAGAAAAACGGGTGGTAGGGATAGGTGTAGAGGGGCAGCGTGCTGGTGGTCGACGCGTCGTAAACATCAACAATCGTCACGCTGCACCACCCTTGTCACTGCCGTCGCTTAGCTGATTACGTACCCCGGGGCCGACTCAGGACACGTTCACGAAGCCTCTCAATCAACCCTCAGAGCTCCAAACCCCCACAGCTCCAGCTCCAACATCCACAATGCGGTGGTTACAGCTTCTCACAGCCTCGCTGCTGCCTTTGACGGCACTCGCAGCCAAAAAGTCCTCCGGCGACCGCTTCAATGATTTCCGCGCCAAATCGTCGTCCGGACCGCTGACGCTCGACGATCCGGCGTATGCGCAATTGACGAAAGCCCCAAGAGACTATTCGGTAGTGGTGCTGCTCACGGCTATGGGCGCTCGCTTTGGGTGCCAGCTGTGTCAGGAATTCCAGCCCGAGTGGGACCTTTTGGCGAGGAGCTGGTCGAGGGGCGACAAGAAGGGAGAGAGCAGGCTGATTTATGGCACATTGGATTTTGAGGCGGGGAAGAACACGTTCCAGTCGGTACGGTATATCCAGTTCCCTGCCTGTACTTGGTGCTAATAGTCGATGCAGTTGATGCTTCAAACTGCGCCCGTCGTGCTCTACTTCCACCCCACTGTTGGACCGAATGCGAAGGCTGACAACCAACCTGAACGATTGGACTTTACGGGAGGGTAAGATGCGTTCAACATAGTAAAATGAGCCGCCGCTGACAAGTGCAGTCCCCAATCCGCCGAACAGGTCCACGCCTGGATCTCCCGCAAGCTCCCCGCCGATGCGCCCAAGCCCGCCGTCCACCGACCCATCAACTGGATCAAGATCATCTCGGTCACCACCGCCGTTCTCGGCCTCATCACCTTTGTCGCCGTGGCGTCCCCCTATGTGGTGCCCATCCTGCAGAACCGCAACCTCTGGGCTGCCCTCAGCTTGCTCGGTGTCCTGCTCTTTACCAGCGGACACATGTTCAACCACATCCGAAAAACTCCATACGTGTCTGGCGATGGCAAGGGTGGAATCAACTACTTTGCTGGTGGCTTCAGCAACCAGTTTGGTTTGGAGTCGCAAATCGTTGCAGCAATCTGTAAGCTCTCCGGTGCTTCTGGCTATTAGCTAGGCTAACTGTCTCCTCTAGACGGTGTCCTTTCCTTCGCCACCATCTCTCTCGCGCTC